GCTCCCGAGCTCGCCCGCCCTTAACCGTCGACAAGAAACAAACAGTAAAACCGAGCGGGTACACGTACAATTCCAGAAAACAAATAAAAAATAAAAAAGACGGAAGCAAGCGATAAACAAACCCCAAAAGATTTCATAGAACATTAAAAAAAATTTAAAAATTCTTCAGGCTGCAGCCCGTTTTGCTGTTAACTGGGCTCGATCGGCAGCAAACCACCAAAAGCCACTAACGATGAATTCGGTTCCTTCCTACACATCACTTTCTTTACGTTGTGGGCAATTCTTACTGATTCGGAAGGATATATGCTGCCAAATAATTGATGAAATGTAAACAAACCGCCACCACCATAACCCGTCACAGAAGAGCATAAAGCCGCCGGTCCCACCGCGCAAGCTTCCAGGTACTAAGCTAGGTATTTGAAAGTAATGTATTTTCCATTTTGTTCGTTCTCTTAACCCCCTGCCCTACCCCGATTTACAATAAAGCGCGGAAAGAAAGACTAAGGTTTTAACATTGAAATTTTGAGCTCTGCTAATTACTTTCGCCCTACGTAGCAATGTGAAAACCTTGCGGGAGGAGGGTCTCCGGGCCGGGAGGGCAGCGTTCCCGAGCCTGGGGCACAAGCTTTACCGTTACAGACCAGTTCGGTGACCCTCGGCAGCATTAATATGCACAAGATCCTGCTGTTAATCTCAGAACCCGTTTTGTATCATCCATTGCCCACCAAGTACTAGAGGTAAAAATAAAAATCAAAACGGAAGACATTTAGCTTTCCAAAAGAAACAGAAACCATAAAAGCAGAATGCCCTTCAAATAAAGAAGCAAATATTATCTCCTCCTCTTAAGACATCATTAGAAAATTCACCATCCCTACTGAAGGTCAGTTGCCCGACCTCCCGCAGAACTATTAGGGGCTGGGGTGTTCATGATAGTAACACGCAATATTTTAGAAGAGGGGAGAAAAAAACCTATATGGTTAGTTCCGTTAACCCAGCAAAGTATGCCAGGCAACGAGTTACTTTCAAATTCAAATTGGAGGAACCAGGTCTTCATTCTTGAAGTTACTTTTCCCAGTCAGTCCTTGGAGGAGAGGGCAGCCAGCGGCTCAATGCTTGTAAACCTGAAGGGAACTGCACTCAGATGCCGGGGAACTTCCCAACTTGTGCTCAGGGACAGTGCCTGACTGGAGTTCCCCCTCACCATTTCAATAAAACATGATTGTATTGATATAATCCTCTATACATTAAAATGAGGTTGTCACAGATTGTCATTAAGACCTCAGTAAAACAATGAAGACATTATTGGGCACCCCCCCTCAGGCAACGTATTAGGGAATAAAACAATCTACACCACGCGGGTCCTATTGAGATTAATGAAAAAATTATGCAAAAAAATCTCAATTTCATTTTCCCGTGACGGGGCTTTGCATACATACAGTCAGTCTTGCCTTACACCTGATGATTTATTAAACTAATCTACAGTGATCACCACTGATGTTCTCAACTCAATCTTGTCCTGCCTCATTTTCTAAGTAATTGTTTCTCATTAGTTCTGATAATGTTTTAATAGTGTTACCCATAATTTAGTCCCCAAGAATTAATAACAGGGGGGTAATATGGCAAAGCAGCTTGTGATGAGCTACACAAAATATAAACAGGTATGGTTTTTAATTAATCAGATTACTGCAAGTTTCTCTTCTTGTAGCCAGTCCATTCCTAGCTCGGAGGAATCCCCGGGTTGGGCATTGTCACATACTAAGTGGTCTCAGCTAACCGAGCCCTCCCTCCCTGAATTACCTTCAACCACCTGGGGCACCAAAGAGATGTGGGTGGGAAAATAGTGAGGAAACCTCTGGCCTCCCAATATCTCCTTGTCTTGGGGTTTTGTTCTTCAAGGAATGAGGCACAACACGTTTCTGACCCTGACTAAAGCCTCTCTAGGTCCCTCATTTGGATCTGTGCTCAGAGAGCTGGAACTCTGTCTAGATTTTGGCTCCAGTGGGGCCCAGTGTCATGATCCTACCATAACTGGGACTACAGGGTTATAAGGAAGATGATAAATCTGGCACTTAGGGAGACTTAAACAGCAAGGTGGTACTGTTGGAACGAAGTGTGGTTTGAGATAAAGGGTGTGGTGCCCAGTCCAACATGGTTGGGGACCTAGGAACCCAGGCCCCGCCAGCCCGTTGGTGATGGGGGAGGGGGAGAAACAGCCCGGTCCGGGCCCAGGGGGCCGCCTGGAGACCTTGCTGAGAGGGCTGCTCTTCCCGAGACCATGTGTCTTTGTCCTGGCATCTGGGGTCCCTCAGAGGGGATGCCTGGCTCTCAGTGAGCCCCAGGCTCTAGGAGGTCCACCGGTAGGGCTTGGGAATTGCCTAGGTAATTCGGGGGGAGACTAGAATGTCTCCCTTTCATGCTGTCAAAGCCTGAGGGAATTATCTGGGGCGACACGTGAGGCCGGGTGGGAGCGGCTGAGGTGAAGTGGGGGCTGCCTGTAGGGAAGTATGAAGAAAGGCTTTTATTACCTTCTTTTAAGACAGGCCGTGCCCACGCTAACACCCTGAGGGTGTTATATTACTGGTCAGAATGAGAGGGTGCCTCCCTCTGCCTTCTGAGTAGTCCTGTGTCTCTGTGTTCCGAGCAGCAGGGTCCTTCTGCGTGGGCACCTGTGGTCCCGGTTTACCCTGTGCACACCGACTACCAGCCTAGGCGGGCACAGCTGCATAATGGGTTGGGGGATGGCTTTTCCTGTAACTGCTGCCCACTGCCACTGTCCGCAGTCCTGAAGCCCAATTTGGCTGGAGGCCAGTCATCTCCCAAGTCGGTTGAGATACCATCTTCCTCCTTCCAGCTGCTGAGTGAGGATGAGGCTGGCTCCTACCTTCCTTTCCAGCTAACTCTGGAGCAGCACCGGGTGACAGTGCTCTCAAGGGGTTGGAGAGGGTTGCACCGAGGAGGGAGGCGCGATGCCCAGGGTAGACAGGACTCCAGCCAAGTACATCCTATCTTTGGTTAAGAGCTGTCTCCTCAGATCCCATGTTTGGGAAGGTGAGTTGGTGTCTCAAGCACGTGTTTCCCAGAACCACCCAGCCTGGGTCAGGTTTCTTTGTGTGCCCCCTTCTTGCTCTGCACTGGGTGGCGGGAGCTGCATGACGGTGTGTGGGCCTCTCCCACTTTGCTTGGTTCCGTGGTGCCTTTCCTTGTATATAACCTTCAGCCCTACTCCCCTCACAGGCTTCCTGGACGAACTGGAAGAAGTAGGGGAAAGCTGACCCCTGGTTGGGGCGCACGGTAGGGGCCACGTAGGAAATAAACAAAAAGGACATAGGAGGAGGTGAAAAATGAAAATAAAAAACAACTGTTTTCTATTTACAAATTTAAATAAACAGAACAGCCTTCCCCGCGGTGTTTGTCTAAGAGCAGCAGCCTTGCTACTGTGTAGGTCATGGAAAGGCTGGTGTAGAGTTTAAAACTTCCCATTCTGTTAATTTCTTAAAGAACAGTCGTCCAGAGTCTCCACACAAAAGCTCATGATTTAATGAGGAGCAGAAACAAAATCTCTGATTGTTGGTGTTTCAAATTTCATTGGCGTCCTCTGGCAAACACAAGTTGATCCTTCGCAGCTTCAATACCCTTTAGCCTTCAATATAAGAGCACATGCTGAATAGGGAAGAATGGCTGGTTGTTATGTTTATTTACCCTTACTACAAGCTGGGTTAACCTCTTCAAAACAGCTTTACTAAGCCCGTTAACCACACCACCCATATGACCTGTAGCAGCATCTCTAATGTGATGCAAATCTCGCAGGGGACCATATGCACCAGCTCTGAGGCATTGTGTCCTCTTAGAGGCTACACATTTATTGCTGAGGGGGCCCTGTCCTGGCCATACATTTACAGGGGGAAATGGCCTCAATGGCAAACAGTTAAACAGGGAAATAAAGGGAGAGAATGGATGGTCTTGTGTTTCTGCACATTTATTTTTTAATTGCTGGTAACTGTTGACCCAAAGCATTCGCCCAGAATGAGGGCTTTCATAGTCATCACTTGGCAGTTCAAGGATAGGGATGACTCATTTTGAGGGGTGGAGGTTAACAGTAATCAGTTTTGAAGATTTATTTTTAGAAGATATGTATATAAAACAGTAAGGTACTTAGTCAACTTTTCTGCCATCTCTGTTGTTTTATCAGATTACTAGTGAAATAAACACCAACACTTTATTTAGTTATTATTTTTTAAAGGGTTAGCCTTTCTTAAAAGTATTTATGCTGTCAAGTGAACAAATGAACAATGTGGGTAACATCTAACATGAATGGGGTGAAGGGAGTACACATATTCAGGAAAGATCTGTTACATTAAAGACCTAACTTCCCCTCACAGCCCATCTCTTCCCACTATTTTATCTCCTTATGAAATTAAAAGTCCATACTTATAACATTCATGAACAATAAAATCATAAGCTTGGAACCAAAAAGAAGAAAGTTCATTTTTAGAGGAATAACTGAGCAGTGAGATAACCCACCCCCGCCCCCGCCAAAAAAAATTGTGATTACCATGAACTCTAAATGGAGAAAAGCTCCAATCTGGCATACTAACAAGTTGCCTTGAGTATTATGGTTTGTCTTTAAGAAACCCACTGTATATGTTCGGCCCACCTGATGAGAGCTTCATTTAACAGATCATTTTTCCTTGATGGATGTGGCAAGCGTAACAATGTTCTGGGCCTGCTTCAGTAATGGCATGTCGATCATACTCCCTCGGAAAGTAAAGGCTCCCTGGAAGACAGAGAATACAAACTTCCTGAAAGAATGCTCGGAAATTACAGGCTTCCTTTCTGCACACACTTGTACAACAAGAACATTTTAGATTCCACCTGAATTGTACTGACTTTCCTACCCAACTTTCGAGAAAAGCCAAAGTAAATTACAGGGGAAAGGTTTCTTTTTAGCGCCTAAAGAGGGGGCAAAAACCTGCAGCATTTTAATGGAGAGGAAAAACATCAGACACAAAGTACTGGAAACTGTTCATTTAATTCTTGCAATGAAGCAGAAAACAACAGTGGAAGGAAAATGTAAATATTTCCTTATATAGGTTTTGAAATATTGCATAGAATTGTGAAAACAGTAATATGCTCTGGAAACTGACTATTGTTTGAAAAAATAATTGTCTAATCCAGTTAATGGAAAAGTGCTTCCTTCTTGGTGTAACATAATTGAGGGTAACACCATCATGTGATGAGAAAATGTGAGGTAGGATTATACTGAGTAAAAAGAGATCCCTCTGTTGGTACACACTTGCAGAAGAGGATTAAAATGACAGGGAACATGACTGTAACAAAGAAATCATAAGCTTGTTGAATGGTGAGACTGGAATGAACCTGAAATCTCCTGGTTTATTCCCATTTTACAGATTCACTTTTTTCTAACCTTCTGCAAATACTTACGGAATGTGTCATGTGATCTCAGTCCTGTTTTAGATGAGGAAACTGAGGCCCAGAGTGGTGAAGGGATTTTCTAAGATCACTTCACTAGAAAAAGTTATAGCTGGGGTTAATACTTTGGTCTCAGAACCTCAAGCCTTCATTAGAGACCCCCCCCCCATTAAGATGACAAGGTAATTTCTTCAGTGCCTCAGAAAAAGAAGAATTAAATGGACAGAGGAAGTATGCCCAGAATCTGAAGTTAATGTCTGGTCATTCATGTTCTCTTAATCGCTTCTTTTTGCTGTTTGCAATCAAAGCTCTTCTTAATTCTCCTTCTTTCTACCTGTTGGTAGGGATGCTGGTGTGAGTGCAGAGCAAGTGGTCTTCTGAGACCTGCAGGGGGACTGGAGCAATCATAATCCCTGCTGACAGTCGAGCTGTGCATATCGCTGCCCCTTTCTGGGTTGCACGAGTACCGCCTCCTCAACAGTCAGTGCTGTCTTGATTCAGAACTTCTTTCCTGGGCTCTCTGGAAACCCTCATCTCTCACATAATGTAGAGCTATACACAGGATAGAGGTTTAAAAAACTGGCAGGGAATCCTTCACAGTGACTTTGAAATTTATTTTTTAATCAAGAGAGATTTAAAAGTCATTCGGATTAGAGTCCTCACCAGTCCCTAACCTTCTCAGCCTCAGAGTGGTATCTGATTCATGTGAATACTTGCATGGCCTAAAATCCTGTACCATTATGTCATTTTCCAACCCTCCCACTTTCACTATTTATACTCCCAGACTGGTCTTTGCCTAATTTCATTCAGCCTAGAGCTAATTTTGGCCATCTCGGTGACCGTGATGAATTTTATGAATTTGGTTAGAAGTTCTCAGGATAGTCTGTGGGTTAGCATGACATGTGACATCAGGGCGTGGGGCTCACGCTGTTTTACAAGGCAATAGTCTAGTTTTCTTATTGGAGTAAATGATGAAGACCAAAGGCCTCCTGGTTATCTGCTCACCAAGTGGATTACGGCCCTGTAAACCAGCACGTCTGTCCTGCTAAAGCCTGAATAATAGGCTGGAGAGATGACATTAGCATAGATGCACATGAAATCAAAACGATGCACAAAGAATCAGGATGATGGCTCTGGGTCTACTCCATGTTTCCTGAATCTGCTTTGGAGTCTACACGCACATCTAAAATGCAAAATATTTTATGTAGTTTTTCAACACAGGGAGATCATTCCCTTCTTTTATGGTGGCAGATTTTGCTTGACTGCGTGAGGCTTAAACTGGAAAACAAAAGTTTAACATTTTTGTTCTTTGTTTCCTTCATCTCTGCAGATTGAAGAGTTTAGTGTTAAACAGACTTCCTAATACGAATATCCTCCTGCTCTCACATATCAACCTAGAACACGGTTGGTTTTTTTTAACATCTGGATCTACATGTGAAATGTGAACAGTCTGCTGGTCAGGATTTGGAAAGATCCAAATTGTCAAAAGCTACTTGGATTTGCAGCGAGGGTTTGAAGCATTCCGTAATGGATGATCATAGATAAGTTTCAGTTTCACAGCTCAGTGCATTCCTGAGAAATTGGTGTACTATTTTGAAGAGGGAACTTCCATCAGCTTGAAGATTCAGACTATTATTTGGTTTAAAATGCCTTCAAAGAGTGACTCATTCATGGTTAAAAACCTTAACAACCATGACTACAACAATAATAATAGCTATAATTTCTTGAGCAGTTGCTAGCCCCAGGGCTGTGCCTGGCTCTTGACATGATTTATTTCATGTAATGCTCATAACAACACTGTGAGGTAGATACTATGACCTAACCCCATTAGCAAATTGTTTTTCTTTTTCTTTTCAATTATGGTAAAAACACATAACATAAATCCACATTCTTAATCATTTTTCAGTGTACAGGTCTGTTATGTTAAGTAGATTCACACTGTTGTGCAACAGATCTCCAGAACTTTTTCATCTTGCAAAAGTGAAACTTGGTACCCATTAGACAACTGCTCCCCCTTCCCCCTCCTCCACCCCCTGGCAGCCACCCTTCTGCTTTCTGTTTCTATGGGTATGTATCCATCTACATTTTATAACTGAGGAAACTGAGGCACAACGAAACTAGTATGAATCTGCCCTGTAGCTAGTAAGTACAGAACTGGACTGACTGACTGACTGACTGACTGAATCAATCAATCAAACACCTGTCCCCCAACCCCACTACCCTCACCGAAAAAAAAAAAAGAAACTGGGGTTAAAACCTAGCTCTGTTTGATCCAAAGAGTGTGCTCCAGGCTTAGGATCCAGGGTTTTTTTTGTTGTTATCAATTGTTCTCTGAGTGGGTTGCTTGGCCACCTGAATGAGACTCATATGATGGGGAGGTGGCTTGTTAAAATTCAGATTCTTGGGCTCCATCCTATAAGGTTTCATGCAGAAGGCCTAGGGGTTGGCCAGGAACCCTCTGATGTTTCTAATGCACATTCAAGTTTGAGAAGCTCTGTACTTTAGCTCTCCTGGGTAGAAACGTTTAGGCCAGCTTTGATATGGGTACTCTATCCTTGCCCTCAAGGAGCCTACAGTTTGCTGATAGAGACAGGGAAGAAAAGAAACTGGTACCATAAAAAGCAACAAGAATTAGAGGAAAAGCCAGTGTGATGAGCATGGAGATGTCCAAGGCCTGAAAAGTTTGCTCTTCTTGCCAATTAGGACCATGTTTGCCAGTTTCCACTGTTCACTCAGAAGTGATGCTGTGTACCTACTGCATGTCATACACTTCCTGCGAGAGCTGTCATGGAGCTCTGTACACATGGGCTTTTATTTAGCAATTACCTATTGAGTTATTTGTTGTAATAAATCACTAGTCAGCCACTTTGGCACATTACAATACACACCCATGGCTTCAGCCTCCTGGAAGTGAAGAGGACTATCACCTTAGCATAGGTGTTATCTGCACAGGAAGGAAAACAATTAATATTGGGCTGTAGTTTTTCTAACATCTGGGTCATTGCCAGGTGGTAAGATAGGTATTGAAATAACATGAACTCTATCAGACCGTGAAGTTCTTCATGGGGGAGAATCTTATGATCTGATGGCAAAAGTATTGGTGATGACGACAATAATAATCACATTTATGGGAAATATTCATATATTTTGCGTTTCTGGCACTTTTTTTCCCTCTAGAGTACTAAAAGAGTAATTTTCTAGAATCCATAAATGATCTTATTCTTTCCCTACTCATTATGTTTTCAAATAACTTCTTTGGGCATTCAGGGAGTTCTCTCTAGCACATTCCCATGATGGCGTTGCTTTGTCAGAATTAATGATATTTGAGCACAGCTGTTATAGTTCTTCTTTTTCAGAGTGACACTCTCTTCCTTTATGATGCTAAAGTCCTATGCCCATAAGTTATTTACCTAACTACAGTTCCCAGGGAATTCCTAAAACTTTTGGTCAGTTTTGGCCACTATGAAATTTGTCTTCAAGACCTTGCTGTGCCCTCTTCTTGCTAAGATCTCTCAGGCCCAGCCATGACCTCCTGTGAAACAGCTCTTCCTTATCACAAAGTTGCTCCTTAATGCCCCTCAAAGTGGGGGAAATGCTGCTCTCACAGAGACACTCTGACAGGCACCATTTCATTCTTCTTTCTCTCCCATTTTTCAACCTATCACACTTGGAGAATCCTTGGACAGGACCTAGGTCCCCTCACAATTCAGTTAAGGGGCAAGGATGCAAGTTTGGTTGCCAGGCATCCAAAGCCCAGTGGGGAGGCTGCCCGGCTCCCAGGCTGGCTAGCAGAGAGGTCTCACTGAGAGAGTGCTGGGACACCTGCAGGGGAGTTGCATCTTCTTAATTGGGACCATGATGTTATTTTTCTAAAATACTAGATAAGATCATCCATTTGCTTAAAACTAGTCAGTTGGCCAACACTTGTTGAGCCTCCAGTAGGACACAGTGACTGACCTCAACAAATGTGATGTTGGGGTGGGGTCAGGTTAACTCATGCAAAGACTTAGTTAAATGCAAGCAAGTCTATCTGTAAGGGTGCTTAAGGAATGAGGAGCCACAGAGAGAGCCATCAAAATAGGGTGGTTTGGCCAGGGAAGGGCTCTGAGGAACAGGTACTTTTAAAGCCAGCTTTAGGTCAGAGATGCCAAATGAAGGTCAAGAGAGGGGCAAGGGAAATGAAGCAGCACATTGAGATGTGAGAGTGGCGTTGGCCTTCTGTGTTCTGCAAGAGCCCCCTGTGCCTCTGGTCACCAGTGACTCAGCAGGTCAAGTAAAATGAAGGACCACAGTATGAGACAGTGGATTTGTCTATTGACGAAGGGGTTTCTCTAGTGCCTGAAG